GTGAGTTCGACAGAAGCAGGGCCTTCACAGTTCCACAATCAATAATTTCAAAATATTAAAATAAATGTAAAACTGTATGGCTGGACTGCCCTGGTGGCGCAGTGGATAAGAATCTGCCCTCCAATGTGGGGGGCACCAGTTGGATCCCTGGTCTGAGAAGATTTCACACACCCTGGGGCAACTAGGCCTGAGAGCCTAAACTACTGAAGCCCGAGCACCTAGAGTCCGTGCTCTGGAACAAGAGAAACCATTGCTATGAGAAACCCGAGAACCACAGCAAAGAGCAACCCTCAGTGTCCACAACTAGAGAAAGCCCACATATAGCACCGAAGACCCAGCACAGCCAAAAATAAATAAATAATATATATACTTTTAATGCTTTTTAAAAAAACTGCATGGTTGTGAAAGTGAAAGTGAAGGTCGCTCAGTCACACCGGACTCTTTGCAACCCCATGGACTATACAATCCATGGAATTCTCCAGGCCAGAATACTGTAATGGGTAGCCTTTCCCTTCTCTAGGGGAACTTCCCAACCCAGGGATCGAACCCAGGTCTCCCTCATTGCAGGCAAATTTGTATGGTTGTATGTGAGAAAGAACTGTGTACAACTGGACTGCAAAGATCCAAAGGTTTGAAAGAACTCCAGTAGTGAAAAGATGGGGAAACCCATGCTCCCATATACTACTGTGGGCAGGCCAATTAGCACAATGTGTAATGAGTAATTCGGACACGCGTCAGTCCTAAGTCCCTTCAGTTGTGTCCGACTCTTTGAGACCCTATGGACCATAGCCTGCCAGGCTCCTCTGTCTATGAGATTCTCCAGGCAAGAATACTGGAGTGGGTTGCCATGCCCTATTCGAGGGGATCTTCCCGACCCAGAGAGTGAATCCATATCTCTTAGTCTCCTGCATTGGCAAGCAGGTTCTTTACCAATAGCACCACCTGGGAAGCCCAATTTAGCCATATGGATCCAAATATTTAAAAGAAAAAAAGGCAAAGGACATATCCTCTACCATTGCAATTTCGTTTCTGGGCATTTCCCCCACAGATATACCTACACATGTACACAGAGATAGTCCTTGGGATCCTGTAGTATTAATCATGACAGCAAACTCGTAGAACAAGGGACAGTGCCGGTTAAGTGTTGCCTGAAAAACCACATCTCCTGGCTTGGCCTGTGTTGGGTGTCTGAGACAGTGAATAATATTTTCTGACCTGAGATGGAACCACGAGACTGAAAGAGAAAGCAGCAACTTTATAGAGCAATGACGAAGTTTAGACGAAGTTTATTGTGGGTGATATACACAGGCATTCGAAGCTGCACTCTTTGCTGCCAAAGGGGTACAGGGGAACTGAAAGGGACCAAAGCTAAAAATAGAATGTGACTGTGGGGAGAAGTAGTGTTACTGATGGCAACCAGAGGTTCTTTCTCCCCTGGGGAGGAGGGTCTCAGTGACCTCTAACCATCTACACAAAAGGCGCTCTTCCAGGGTTCACAGCAGTTGAAGGCCTGGCAAAACACTGATGGGAACTTACCTGGCTGGCATTCGTTACTTATGAGCCAGCTAAAGTTAAGTCACCCAGAACAGGGAAGCGGTAGCACTGTGAGCCCAAGGTGGAGCTGATCAAACAGAGTCAGTGTTAAGCCACACAACCTGGTAAATGAGGCCAGTGTCCCACCAGGTGCTGGCAGTGAGGAAACGCACCCCCTTGCCCACGCCTGGCCTTAGTACTTTTGTACCTACATCCACCTGTCAGCACCCACTCACTCTCAACTGCCCATGCCTCAACAACAAACTCAGGAAGACCCCGGGATTCAGGAACCACCAAGTTCTCCCAGGGCCAGGTCTGCAAGGGGCGCACCGACACCCCATTGGCCGGGTGCCGTCTGTCACGTGGGCGCATCCACAGTGAGAGATGCTGGAAGGCCGGCCGCACTGAGGCCAAGAGAGGAGACTGGCCGAGGGGACACGTGGGCAGCCCTGCCAGCAGGACCCTGAGGAAACAGGGCTGCGTGAACGACTGCTCTGACCAGGAGCAGGGAACCGGGGCCGCTTCCAGGAAGAGACAAGAACATGGGGGCCACGGCACTGCCTGGCCTGTCGTGGTGGCATTTTCTACTGTGAATTACCTTAAGGGAAAAGAGGGACTTTAGATGTCGTGGGGGGGAACCCGAGAAAAATCAAAACTTCCAACGCTAGTCAAGGTTGTGAGACTGCAGGGCTGACTCCGGCCAAGCAAGACGCAGACCTGCTCCGCCCTGCCGCGGAGGAGAGCTAGTTAGCCACACAATCGAGACCGCGTCATCCAGGACTACACCAGCCCGGCCCACGGCGCCTGCGCGCTGGGCCGCCCCAGCCACCCCACCCCCGCCTCCATGCTGCGCCTGCGTACTTTGCCGCCCCGCCCCCCGCCGCCACGCTGCGCCTGCGCACTGGGCTGACGCGGGGCACACGGGGGCGGGGCCAAGGCTTCCGGGTCCTCTGCCCGCGGACCCGGGGGGTGGAGGCCGTGCCGACACTGGTGTGGCAGGACCGCGGGGAAGCGGCCTCGGAGGCCTGCGAGCTCCCCGGGGACCGGCACTCCGCTCCGCAGGTGGGGCTCAGGGCGCTGAAGGGTAAGCGGCGGGTCCCGCCGGCCCCGGGGTGCGGAAGCACGTCCCCCGCCCCCTCCCCGCCACCTCTCCGGGCACTGTGTGCTTCGCCCCGGGGGACGGGGCAGATCTGGAGCCTCCGGGGTGCAAACCCGGAGCCCGGCTACTCCCGTCTTCGGGCGGCAGCGCCTGGAGGTGGCCTCAGGGTCACTGGCACCCCGGGCTCCGCTGATGTCTGGGGGCCGCAGTCTGTGTTCTGGCACGGGGGTGGACAAGACCGCCCGGGTGTCCACCCCGGGGAGCCCGGAGCCTGCCTCATTCATTAAGCCGACGTCTGCCGACCCGCTCCCAACCCGGGCGCAGAAGACCCGACAGGGGCCTGATCAGCAGGGGAGGAAAGCCTATTGACACCTACCAGGGGGATTCGTGTTTGGTTATGCGCTTTAATTTTTGGATAGGTTTTCAGCATCTGGGCAGTCATTTGCGCGCACGATCCTTTGGGGGACTTTACCCTTGAAGAAACGGGCCTACAGATCTAAATCGCATAGAGCTTGTATTTCGCGAGCCGACCTGCCAGTCCCCAGCTCCTAGAAAGCTTGCCCGGGGGGGTGGGGCGGGACATCACTGCCGCTGCTCCACAACGAGACTCTCCTCTCTGACCTAGGACAGGGGGAGGCAGCCCCACCCCACTGCCGTAGCCAACTGGGAGACAGGTTAGCTCAGCCAAACCTCTGTTTGCCTTTGTGCAGCTACATCCTGCCGCACCACCAGCCGAGTCCTCATTCCCCACCACCTTGCCTTAACAGCGCTGTTCTAGACTCTCCTTTAAAGAGCAGAACTGAAGGAAAATTATTCTCTTTGGCGATCCTCTCAGGAGGTGTCGGTAGTGTCACCGAAATATGACCCACCTCCTGCGACTGTCTTAGCTCTGGACAAGCCCCTTACCCCAAGGAATGAAACTGGCTTTTAGGCTCCGGCCTCAGGGACATGGCTGTTCCTGGCTCGGGCCCCCTCAGAATTATGTTCTGTTAGACCTCTGTTTATGCCACCCTGAACTTGCTGTGTAACTTGAATGATTGTGCTCAGTCATGTCTGACCTTTTGTGACCCCATGGCCTGCAGCCCACCAGGCTCCCCTGTCCATGGGATTTTTCCAGGCAAGAACACTGGAGTAGGTTGCCATTTCCTCCTCCAGAGGATCTTCCCCACCCAGAGATCATCGAACCCGCGGCTCCTGCATTGGCAGGTGGATTCTTTACCACTGAGCCACCTGGGAGGCCCCCTGTAACTTTAATGATTATGTGTATGTAACTTCACGTGTTTTCTGGTCATCTGAAGTAGCCTTGTATTCACAGGGACAGGGAAGTGATGAATGAAGCACGTTTGATTTGGATTCAGAAGCCTGAAGCTCCTCGGCCTTGAGGTGTGCCAACCGTGTCATCCCAGGCAAGTCTGTTTACAGACATTCCTGGCATTGGTCCTGTTGTATGGAAATCAGTCATCATGTGGTATATAGGTGCCCGCACTGTGGGCTCTGGTAACAGGATATATTCATAGCGTGTTTAAAGTGGTGTTTTTAAAATGGGTAGACAAATTTAATTAAGAGCAGCCTTTGCCTCAAAATGTAATATTCTACCTGTTAATCTGATTATGTGTACTATGGCTCTCAGGCTAACATAGGACATGATGAAATTTGCTCATAAACAATAAAACAGTGAGCTCAGTAAGTTAATTATCCCTACGACATGCTCTCTGCATACAGAGAAAAACAATAATTTCTGGACCTAGCCTGACCGCGTAGGGACAAGAAAGCTCCCCTGCCCAACCTGAAGGAGGAACTAATGATGGAAGCATCACATCTACTCAAGAAAGACCAGGAAGTTCTCCGCCTTCCCACTTTTCCTTTGATTAGAAAACTGTAGCCCAGTAAGTTCTCAGGGCATGGCATTTCTCGCCCACCCGCTTATAAGCTTCACAAGTTGCATTCTAATAAATCCCTTCTTATCTTTAAAAAAAAAACTGATTATGTAAAAATAAAACACTTTCAGAGTTGTAAGATGTTAGTTAGCAAGATGGTCCTTGCTAACCATCCTTGGAAATAGCTGCTTTAGAACTTAATCTGTAAGTACTTTTTTCAGAGATCACTTAGCCATGGGAAACTTTGGGTTACTATAACCTAAAAACAGGAAGCCTCTGAAAGGGCCTGTTCTTGGGTGGAGCTGGCTGCTGGAGGATGGCTGCTCAAGCACCAACCCCAAACCTAGAATCTCTCACTAGGCTCAATTCTGTGTCCAAATGGAGTCCTGCCATCATTTCAAACTCCACATGTGGAAAACCTGGTCACTGCCATCTCCTGCCGAAACATTCCCATCTCAGATGGCCATCATCAGGGTCCTGAAGCATCCTCCATGCCTCCCGGTGAATTGCTGCATCATCAGCTAGCCTTCCTCACCTGCAGGTGTTGGCTGAGCAGCTGCTGGTTTCTGGCCTTGTGTCGTGGTCGGGAAATCAGGATGAGTGGGCTGGTCCCTGCTTCCGGAGAGACCCCTTCTCTCCAGAGGGCAGGAAGGCATAAAGGAACCGCAGCTTGCTCAAGAGTGGGAGGGGAGAGCACCAAGGAGCCTGGATCCCAGCTGCAGAAGCTCAGGGAGGGGTGTGCTGTCTCCCCTCCATTCCCAGGCCTCCAGGCAGGGCCCCCCCAGCAGGGGCACAGGGACCCCCAAGATTTGGGCCATGCTCCAGGGGCTGTGGGCATCCAGGTATGGCTGAAGGACTAGATCCCCTACTGTTATGTCTGTCCTCCCCCAGACATCCTGGGGGTATCATGAGTCCACCCAAGACTGCTCCCTGCTTCCAGACCTGGTCTCCACTCCCCCTCCCCGGCAAGTGCAGTCATGCTGTTCTCCAGCCCTCCTCCCCCACTGTCTTTTGTATCCTGAGCACCGAGCCCCACCACTTACAGGTGAGACCAGCTCCCTGACCAGGGGCTCACCCATGGGCATGCACCCTACTTCCCACCCAGCAGCACTGCTGTCTTCCCTCCCCTGGGGTGTCCACTCCACCTCCCACAACTGACAGTGAAGGTGGACAGATGGTGGATGTCCCTGAGGACAGGGGGAGCCCAGACAACCAGGTGCCTCCCTTCTCATCCTCTGAGCCTCTGGTTCCTGCCTGGTGCCTCCATTGAGCAAAGGCCTCCATTTTGAGGTGCGCTGAACCAAAAATAGTGGGGCCAAATCAATTTATTTTGTCAGGGACTTTGAAAGCTCATGGGCATGATTTCCTTCTCGGCAGGAACATGCATGTGAATGAAAGGGGGTATCTGCTATGAAACTCCCAGAATGAGCTGTTTCTCTGATCTTGTATGGCTCTGGAGTCCCCAAGGAGAAGGCAGTGGCAACCCACTCCAGGACTCTTGCCTGGAAAATCCCATAGACGGAGGAGCCCGGTGGGCTGCAGTCCATGGGGTTGCTAAGAGTCGAACACGACTAAGTGACTTCACTTTCACTTTTCACTTTCATGCATTGGTAAAGGAAATGGCAACCCACTCCAGTGTTCTTGCCTGGAGAATCTCAGGGACAGGGGAGCCTGGTGGGCTGCCATCTGTGGAGTCACACAGAGTTGGACACGACTGAAGCGACTTAGCAGCAGCAGCAGCAGCAGCAGCAGCAGCAGTCCCTAAGGGACCAGAGTTTAAACCTTTGGAAAGTAAATTACCAACGTGGGAGGAAAAGTGAGACTGGGGAGAATGAACTGGATATATGTCTGTTCCCTTGAAAAGTCCAGGGACACTGCGTGCACTTGGCTTTTAAAATAGCACCGAGTCTAGAGCCGTCTGCCTGGACCAACCCCTGGAGGGCACCATGGGCCTGGGGCCTGTGGCCCTGGTCGGCACCAGCAGGAACATCGGTCTTGGACAGGTTGTCTAGTCTTTACAAATCTCAGTTCCTCTTCTATTCCATGGGGAGTCCACCGTCCAGAATCATTCTGAGAAGCAAATGAAGCTTCTGATTCCACAGGAAAAATGCAGATCGGCGGGGAGGGAATTAATATTTATTGATTATTATTTATTTGGCTGTACCAGGTCTTAGTTACGGCATGTGGAATCTAGTTCCCTGACCGAGGATCGAACCTGGGCCCCCCCACATTGGGAGTGCAGCATCTTAGCCACTGGACCGCGAGGGAAGTCCCTGTGGAAAGAATTGTGGTTGAACAGATTTTGTCCCTGAACACAGGAATTTCCCACTGGCCCTGGAACCTCACAGCCTAGCGTGTTTTTCCTGCCCCTCTCCCTCCCACCAGCTGCTCTAGCACCATCTTCCGCACACGAGGAAATGAGAAAAATACCAAACAATGGGAACCTGAGGATGACGAAGGTGGCGTACCCGCTGGGGCTGTTCGTGTGCCTGTTCATCTACGTCGCCTACATCAAGTGGCACTGGGCCTCCGCCACCCAGGCCTTCCTCAGCATCCCCGAGGCGGCCACGGGGGCCCGGAGGGGCCAGCAGGCCCGCAGTCCCCCAGGACCGGCTGCCCATGGACCTGAGGTCTCCTACGGCATCATGTTTGACGCGGGCAGCACCGGCACCCGTGTGCACGTCTTCCAGTTCAGCCGGCAGCCTGGAGGTACTGGGCAGAAAGCCCCGACCGTGTCCCCTGCCCTCCATCTCACAGCAGAGCACAGGCCCTCAGGGTGGACTGGACCTCCTGCCCGGAACTCCCCGGGGAGCTTGTCGACAGGGCTGGTTCTCAGGAGTCCCCGATGTCCTCACTCACACTGGTGTCTGGTGACCAGCTAAGGGCAGCTGAGATCTCAGAGGGTGTGGGGGTGTCCTGTCCCCTCCCAGCGTCCCCAGCGGGTTGGTGGCTGGGACCATGACTTAGGCCAGAAGTCACATGGGCTGAGTTCAAGGCAGCTGGTAGCCCCAGGTTTAGGCCAGTGGGAGCCGAGAGTTCAAGAAAGTCAGGTACATGAGCCAAGACATGGAGCTGCCCACTGGGGCCAGACAGCAAGGGGGTGCCCAATGGCCGTGGCCTCAGTGAAAGGGGAACTGTGGCCATCGCCCAGGGGCCTGCTTCCCAGGTGGAGGCTGGGGAGGGATGAGGGTAGAGCTGGGCATCTTTACCTGCTGGCTTCTCCCATGGGGAGACCCCCAGTGTTGCCTAGTACCCCCCACCTTGGGGAGTCAGTTCTCACATCTGGGGTCCCTCTTCTCTGCTTCTATGCTGACCCTTCTATGCGTTTAGCTGACCTGGAGTTACTGGGCGCCTTCAGGAGGCCCCTGCAAGGCTCTTGTGGCACATTTTTCCACTTTTCATCTGCTTTACTTTTAAACTTGTTAACAATAGTTAAATGTTTATATGCTGGACTTTGCCTACCTCCAGAATTGATTTGAAGCTAAGTTTAAGGCAACACATGTCAGCGTATAACCCTTTAGTAACCATGTTCTGGTGTAGTTTCTTTGGAGAGATGTCCTTACAAAAAGTTTGTCCCTGACCTTTCCTCGTGTCTGTATTTTGACAACACTGCTCTGCTTCGGTGTGCCTGGGAACACTCTCCCCTGGTGTAAGCACATGAGAATTTAAGACACTGAATTTTTTAAAAAGAAGAATGAAATATTCTTTAGAACCTGTAATGTGTCCATGCTAGAATCAAGAAAATTATTTTACTTTTCTAGTTTGAAATCATTTGCCCTGCTCCTCTGCTTGTTGAATCAGCAAGAATTAACTGTGTTAAACTTTAACCACTTTAAATGGATAGGTTTTTTTGTATGTAAATTATACCTCAGAAAAGTTGATTTGGGGATTCCCTGGTGGTCCAATGGTTAAGCATGCATTGGACTCTATGCTTCCAATGCAGGGGACAGGGGTTCAATCCCTGGTTGGGGAACTAAGATCCCACATGCCTCATAGTGTGGCCTAAGTAAATAAATAAGGTTCATTTTTTTTTTAAGAGGAGAAGTTCTAGCTGAGACACTTAAGTATAATATTCCTCATTTAGCCAGACTAAAGAGGCAGAGTTTAGACAAGAAACAGCGAAGGTCTGTTTTCAGATGTCTGCCTTAAAAGTGTGGCTCATCATAGTTGTAGAGATTCCTGGATTTGTGTTTATATTCACACTTGTACCTTGTATAAAACATGATTTTTCTTTAGAAACTCCCACCTTGACCCATGAAACCTTCAAAGCACTGAAGCCAGGTCTTTCTGCTTATGCTGATGACGTTGAAAAGGTAATAGTTTTCTCTCATGTTTCTTTGTTCATCAAGTTTGTTTTTTGTAGCCTTATTACAGTGACTCTCTTCCTCTCAGATGCAGAGTGGTCCACCCAGGGCAGCATCTCTGCTGTGCTGACCTGGGATGCTCCATAGCATAGGGGGTCTGTGGAGGACACTGGTATCCATGGGAGGCCCCCCATATATACACCACACCATATACACTGCACATGTGTACACAACCACATACATATCACACACATATACACACCACACATGTATACGTGTATACATACACGCACACAATGACACCACACATACATGACACCATATATACAGACACACACACCATACATATACACACACACATACAACCACACTACCCCACATGTGTATATGCACAGACACATACACACATACACAACCACACACTACCCCACACGTGTATTTACACAGATATACACACACATACACACACATACACAACCACACACTACCCCACACATGTATACACACACCACATACATACACCACACCATATATACAGCCACACACACCATATATATATACACATACACACAACCACACACCGCCCCACACGTGTATATACACAGACACATACACACACGGGCCCTGGTCCAGTGTGTGGCGCTCAGCATACCAGCAGGTGAATCTTTGGTGTCGCTCTTCGTGGATTTTAGGGCCATAAGGGACCCTGGAATTCTCTCATGGTGTGCCGAGGCCTTGCAGCTCACCTGGCACTGCCCGAGGTGGCCGGGCCAGAGTGTAGAACCCCGGTCCAGCCCATGCCCGCACCAGCTCCACTTGAGTCACTGTTTCTGTCAATTTGTAAAATCAGAAAAAAATACATTTACAGATGTATAAAGCCTAAAGGGTGGGGAGCAACCATGACCATGCTGCGGGTGAACCAACCCTGCTTTACCCTCCACGTCCACAGAGCACCCCAGGGATCCAGGAGCTACTCGACGTGGCCAAACAGGACATCCCCTTTGACTTCTGGAAGGCCACCCCCTTGGTCCTCAAGGCCACAGCTGGTCTGCGCCTGTTGCCAGGAGAAAAGGCTCAGAAGTTGCTGCGTAAGGTGAGCACCTCCATTTCCCCCAAGGGTTGGCTAATGATAACTGAGACTGTGGAGCATCCATCCACGTCCAAGCAGGACCCTGAAGAAGGTCTCACAGGAAGGAAACATGTCAACATGTTCACAGTGTCACCTTAGGTGAAGGGCTTGTGGATGAATGATGCTTTCTTCCTCAAGATGTTTAAAGCCATTCATGTTTTCTAGAATGAACCTGTTTTATAAAAAGAACAAGTTTGTGTGAAAAATAATATGTTTGAAGGGCTTCCTTCCATCCAAGGACTTGCTGTGTGTCTGAGGCAGTGGGACCTGAATTCTTGAAATTTCGGCTCAAGCTGGTCACCCTCGCAGGAAGGGCAGGCCCCTCTCTTGGTTTGACGCTCAGATGGGACAGCTCAGGAAGCCGTTGGCATGTGCCCAGGCGCTACACCTCCCAAAGGTGGCCCTGGAGCCTGTCTTTGACAGGGGCTTGTAGAAGTCTTAACCATCAGGAATCAGGGAAAGTGTTCTCAGCAAAATGGTCCTGCTCCAAGCTGTTTCTGTACCTGTCAGCTACTAAATGACGTTGTTGCAAGCCTGTCAAGGTCCCTTTATAGAAACTACTTTCATGCGCTCAAGTCAGATTGTGGGACACAAGTGCAGACATGCTGATGTTTCTGTATATCTGTTACGGCTAAAACATGGAGAAGGAGCTACAGCCTAATGCAGCTGCTCCCAGCGTCCACCTCCCCTGTGCCAGGCCATCCCCTGGGCACATGCCCGCCAGTCTGCATGGGGGCCCAGGGCTGAGATCTGCCCCATGGGGCTTCCTGCCGCCCCTCCTGTCCTGTCCTAACGCAGGACAGTGACTGGGGTCTGGGAGTTTAGATTCTCAAGGTTAAAGATGCGTCTTTCTTTACACTTAGGTGAAAGAAGTGTTTGAGGCGTCGCCATTCCTTGTGGGGGACGACTGTGTTTCCATCATGAACGGGACAGACGAAGGTAGTTACTGAAAGTGCCGCGAGCCCATCCCTCGAGGCGGGCTGCATGCAGCACTGCCGTCAGCATCTCGCTGGAGCCTTCCCTGGCCAGAGGCATAGACACTGGAGTGACAGCCCTGCCCCACCCCCCTGTCCACAGTCTGACCATCTCAGAGCCTCCTTTTTGGGGCCAGTGTTAGGTTCTCCTCATGACTGGCTGCCAGCCTGGCACAGATCACAGTCCTGAAAACAAATCCTCTCTTCTCAGAACATTTAGAGAGAATCCCCAGTTGCTGTGTGAGTACATTGCTGTTGCCTTATTTCCAAGAGCATCGCTTAATAAGGTTCCTTACCAGCCCTGACTCTAAATGTGACCTTAAGAGTTTGTGTGGGTGGAAGGAAAGAGAACATTTGGTTCTCGTCCCTTCTCTTCTGAAAAGAGGCAGTCAATAAAGAGTGGGAGCGCAGGATGGGACATTTGGCCAAGCATTCCGGCTTTTAGTGTGGTGTCTTCTAGAGCAGTCTGCCAGAAGCCACTGTTGGCTCTGAGTGATGCCTGTTCCCGTAGCCAATCTAGAGGCTGAGAGTAGTGGGGAAGTGGTCTTCTCGTGCCCTTGAGCCCCCGGTGCTGTAATTACAGCCTCTCAGGTGCCCTTTGTGACCCTATCCTGCAGGTGTTTCCGCGTGGATCACCGTGAACTTCTTAACAGGTGGGTTCCCTTCATCACAGAGCCCACTGTTCACAGACCCTGGTCTTGAGAGCAGGAGCCTCATTTCTGCTCTTTAAAATAACTCCCCAGGGTTTTGCAGTGTTACTGACCCCAGCGTGGGGCGGGCCCCGAGTTTGTGGATGCAGGTACTAGGGGTGGTTGTGGCCTGCGGCAGCAACATCCTCATTCCTGAGAAAAGCCCTGAGTCACCCCCAGTCAATGTTGAAAGTGAGGCAAGTGCCGATTACCTTATAATTGAAAGCCCACTGGAGGAAGACCAGGTACCAGGAACATGGGTCCTTGGAAACAGGAGTCATTTGTCTCAGATGACTCTCTGGATGTGGGTTTCTGTCCCTTTGTTGTAATTATGGACATGCCCTGCATGTCTGACAGTGGATGAGAGGGAGGGAAGTTGCCTGCAGGCTCTGTCACCCGGGAGTGGAGAGCCATCTCAGGGGCAGGTCCAGAGCCCAGGTGAAAGCTCAGATGAAGGCCCCACCAGGCAGCTGCTCTTCGTGCCCTCCCCCAAACATGTGGAGATTTTTAAGTGGCTGCAGCCTCTGCTGTCTTGTTCTTCTTTCCACGGAAGGGCCTAGCTTCTGACCTCTCCCCTTTTTTCTTTTTTTTTTTTTCTGTTCTGTTTATTAACTGTCATTGCCATGTGGATTTTACTTCCGGTGCTGCAGGCAGCCTGAAGACCTCCGGGAGGGGTAGCGTGGGCATGCTGGACCTGGGCGGGGGGTCCACCCAGATCACCTTCCTCCCGAGACTCGAGGTAACCAGCCCCCACCCCCAAGGCTGCCTGCCCTGTGGGGGATCCACAGCCCCCTGGAGACCCGTGAGCTCAGCTTCCCTCCTGAGGGTCATCACACACAGTGAATCCTGCTTAGTTTGATTTTAACTCTGCCTAGAAAAAAAAATAGGAATTTGCTCTTTGCTGGGGTGATAAACTATTAGCAGATACTACCTGGAGCCCTTTGGGCAGAGAGCGTGGGGTGGGTTCCTCCCTGCCCCCCAAGGGCTTCCAGGGAGGGGCCATCAGTCTGACTCACATGGGACAGGGTCATAATCCTTTTCAGGATGGACTCATTTCCACTTAAGATTGCATGGTGTTTTTAAAAAGTACTTTCCTCATCCACCACTTTTTATTTTTTATTTTTATTTTTTAGTTTTAATGGAAGAGCCTTAAATATACTCAAAACTGTTCTGATTAGGCCATATTTCTCAAAATGGATAAATATCACTCAAAAAGAGGGGAGACATGGGACTTCCCTAGCAGTCCAGTGTTAAGACTCCACTGCCGGGGATGAGGGTTCCACCCCTGGTCAGGGAGCTGAGATCAACCCCCCAAAAAAGGAAAAATCCAAGTGCTTCATTGCTTGGTCTAAGCTGTTTCATGGCTTGTGATTTGATGAAAAGCTAATTGAATACATCTGTGCATATCCCTGCTCTCTCAAATGAATTGAGGGAGGTGGGGGATGGTTTTCTAGAAAGGCCAGCAGGAAAGGAGCGCTAATCCTGTGTTCTTCCCAGGGCACCCTTCAGGCCTCGCCGCCCAGCTTCCTCACGTCCCTCCAGGTGTTTAACAGGACCTACAGACTCTACTCCTACAGGTGCGTCCTCAGGACTGAGGGTGGACAAGGGCTCAGCTTTCCACCGCAGGCCTCCCCTGGGGAGTGACCAGAGCACTGTCCACAGACTCAGTCCCCGGACCCTGCCGTGGACCCGTCTGCAGCCTCCCCCTCTTCCTGCCCTCCCCCTCCCCCCCCCCCGCGGCCACCCCTCCCCCTTCCTCTTCCCTTTTCCTCCTTTTAAAATTCACCTGAAGTGTTTCTTCTTTTGTATGTGTTCTCTTCTGCCTTGGAAGAGGCTTTTGGGGAAGTGGGGAAGAGCCCACGGATTGTGCAAGGGTTTTCTGGGTCACCTTCTTGCCACTGGCACCTTAAGTAGCTTCTTTCCACGAGGCCTGTCCACACCATGAAGATGGAGGCTTGCCTGTCACACTCCGCGGTGTCCACAGCTCCTGATTGAGCTCCACCAAGGAAGGGTCTTGGCTTATTGAGCAGAGGAGCTCCTGGGAGAAGCAGGAGGCCGCTGCCCTGCCCAGCCCCGGCCCCCCTACCACCTTGGGTCCAGTGGACAGCCCAGGCGCATGCAGAGCGGCACCTGGGCCTCTGGGCGGCCTCTCCTCACCAGGGCACTCTCTCCACAGCTACCTGGGGCTTGGCTTGATGTCGGCGAGACTGGCAGTCCTGGGAGGCGAGGAGGGGAAGCCTGGTGAGTGGGATGCAGTGTCCAGAGCCCTTCTGGCCAACAGGATTTGGGAGCCTTGGAGAGAGTGCCCGTAGACCTTGCTGGGGGCCCCTGAGGACCTCCCCAGTTACTTTTTAAAGAAAGATGGCTAGTGAAGTGGTTTCTGAATCACTAAGGGAGAACGTCTTAGGAAGCTAAGAAACAACACCATCAGCATCGGCTTGGTTATAAGGATTTACCACGAGGCAGCTCCTGAGATCATGCCCTGTGTTCTCCTGCACTGGAGGGAACTTGGAACGGGCCTGACCTTCCTCCAGGTGTGGCATTTGGGGACAAAGCCTTTGTCTGCTCCCAGGCCCTCTGCATGCTGTCCCGTCCTGATGCACTTGGCTCAGACAAGCCAGACATTGCCGGCAGGCACTTGAGTTCCTGGAATATTTAGGGAACCGTGTACCCAAGGCAGGCCAGGGCTCTGCTCTGAGATCACCTCAGCCTGTCCCCCCAGAGGCCTTGGTCAGACGTGCACAAGCCCACATGTGTTCCCCTGGAATCCTCTTTCACACACGTCCTGCTTCAGCACCTTTATTTCAGATCCTGCCATTTAAACTTCTAACAGTGTCCCCTTTGTTGCAAACCAAAACCGTGTCCGTGTCTCACAAGCACCTACAGCCTTGTTATGGTCTAGAAAACATCCGTTAGTCAGCGGAGGATGGCAGGCACCCACTCACCCGTCTGCCCCAGCCTTGGGGTCCTGTCCCTCCTGCACCCCTCCTCTGCCCCATCAGAGCAGCAGGGGAGCCATGTTTCTCCCCCAAGTGTGATGGCAGCTCCTGCCTTATGAGCTGTCATCACTCAGCAGACCACAAACCAGACTGAGCGGTTGCAGACAACAGTCCTTTTTATCTCCTGCCTTCACAGGCAGTGGCATCCCTGCTGGGGTTCCTGGGGTCCTGTGGCGGCTGTTCCACTGGTGCGGGAGGGCCCAGACCAGAATCAGCAAGGACAGGGGCGCACTCAGCGGGAGGCCAGCCACCGCCCTTCCTCTGCCAGTTGTGGGCCCAGCTGCACAGGCTCCTGGTGAGCAGGTACCCGCTGCGGGTCCTGGCCCCACCCCTGCTCCATCACCTGGAACCTGGAAGCCCCTCCTTGGCAGTGAGCTGGGAATGGCTCTGCTGGGGTTTCTGCCCCCCTGCTGCTGACCTGGGGTGCTTCCAGAGGTCCAGCCTCACGGCAGGAAGGAAGCGTGTTCCCTTGACCCTCTGAGGCTCTTGGTGCCATGGGCTGCCCTCCATGGGACTCATCACTCTTCACCTCTTCTCTTCTTTCAGCTGAGGACGGACAGGAGCTGGTCAGCCCCTGTCTGTCTGCCGGTTTCAGAGGAGAGTGGGAGCATGCTGAAGTGACGTACAGGATTGCAGGACAGGAGGCAGGTATGGCATGGAGGAGGGTGGCTCAGGAGGGTCGACGGCAGCCCCTTATCCCCCAGCACCTGAGAGAAGCGGGGGGCCTGTCCAGCCTCCTTCACAGACTGGCCTGTACTTGCCCGTGAGATAAACAGCTCTGGAGCTCCTGCCTCCCGCGGGCTCCCTGCACGGGCCTCCCTGTCTGCCGCCAGATGCTCCTCCAGAGGCCAGGTTTCCTAGCAGGCCTCCAGTGAGGAAGGGCCTGGACGTCCCCCAGGCTCAAGCTGACAGCCAAGCCCGGCTGTGGACTGTGCCACCCTGGCCCGTGCTCCAGCGAGGACAGGAGAGGCCAAGGAGCCCCCGGCCTGTCTCACCCACAGCACCCCATTGCTCTGTGCTCCGAGTTTCTTCTGAAAGGGTTACTGAGGTACCGTGTCCAACCTGGACACGCCACTGATGGGGCTGTTTCCACAGACAGCACTTCTGACCTCAAATGTGGGGTTTTCCCCTGCCCATCCAGCTCTCTGGATACCCAGTGGGTATCCTGTGATTCAGCTTAGTTCTGACACTTACAGAGTCAGGGCAGAGACTCCTCGGGTTGAGCCTCCCTCCTCAGACACCCTTTGCAAGTGCTGGGCCCACATTCCTCTGACTGACCTGTTACAAATCAGGGGTTCCTCTGACCCTGTCCTCAAATCCAATAATTTGCTGGGAGGGATCACAGATCTCTGGGAAACACGTTCCTGTTGCTGGTTCCTTCTGAAGGACACAGCTGGGAAACAAATGGGAGAGAGGCGGAAGGCAGGCATATGGGGAGGGTGCCTGGAGCCCCCCGCCTAAGGGTACTCCCCCCCACACACACGTCTCCAACCCAGAAGTTCTCTGAGCCCCTTCGTGAAGGCGTTTTCCAAGGCTTCTTGCAGAGGGACTGATCAATTCAGTGGCCGGTGGTGACTGACTCAGTCCCCAGCTCTCTGCCCATGCCCTCCAGGGGGCGCTGAACATCCAACTCCTCTAACCACCAGCCCCCATCCTGAGGCCCTCGAGGGTCCCACTGGGAGTCACCTCATTAGCACAAAATTAAGGCTTATTGAGAATAACAGGACACCCCTCTCACCCTCACCACTCAGGGCCTTACAAGTCTTTACAAGCTCTGTGTCAGGGACCAAGGACGGAGAGCAAATTCCTATTCTTTATTATCCAGCAATAAACAGGAGGGGACTGGGAAGGAGGGTCGTGGTTTAAGGACAACCAGGGAAGGCCTCATGGCATGAAGAGACAAGATGTGACGAGCTGGGAAATGAGCTCCAAGCTGAGGGGGCAGCTCACCAAAGGCCCTGAGCTGGCTGCTGCATTTAAGGAGCAAGGAGGAGGCAGTGTGAGGGTCAGAGCAGGGAGAAGGCAGGGAAATGAGATCCAGAGGGCGAGGGGGAGGCTTCGGGGACCACGGGGCAGCTGGATGGAGCTGCTGTCAGACGTGGAGCAGGGCTGGGGCAAGACCAGAAATGGGTCTGGGCATGGGCTGTGGGCCATCCACGTCCACTAACTCAGTCTGTGTGTGTCGCACTTCTGAGCAAGTGTCATGACCAGTCTCGTGAGCTTGGCAAGCTGCCACTGAGGCCCAGCCCCGCTCCTCTGTGACAGGAGAGGGTGCAGGCCCCACCCAGGTGGCTGGTGAAGTGGGTGCAACGCTACACATTTGAGCTGAGTGCAGGGCAGGCAGGGCGAGCGTGGGGTGGACCCACTGGGCTGCGTGAGGGCAGCACCAGGAGCCCAGCCTGAGGCTGCTGGCCTTCAGGATCGGGGCCACCCTCCAGCCACCTTTATGCTCACAGTTTCTCCCCTTGACCTGGCCTCAGCGCATGGCCCCTGAAAGGTTGCTGGTGAGCACCCCCAGGTTGTGGCCACCTTGGGCCGCGTGGTCAGGTGCCCAGAGCCCCATGACTGCTGAGTCTGCTTTCCCTTCACCCCAGCGGGGAGCCTCTACCAGCTGTGTGCCCGCCGAGTGTCCGAGATCCTTCGAAACAAAGTGCACAAGACGGAGGAAGTGAAGGACGTGGAGTTCTATGCCTTTTCCTACTATTACGACCTTGCCGCAAACGTGGGCCTCATAGGTAAGGGTGGGGCCGGGTTTGCTACGTAGGGGCCTGGGGTGTGGGACCTCGGGCAGAGGGCTCGCCAGTCACATCAGGGTGGTGGGAGGGCAGGGACCTGTCGTGAGTAGAGAGTACTAGGCCTCTCTTTTATAAATAATTCAGTTTTCTGAGCTGCTTAGTGCAAGAAGGATTCCTGGCTGTTGGTTCATTCTCCTCTCACTTATTGTGATTCTCAAACCCTCAGCTGCTGGCATCCAGGCTGGCACCCACTCCTCAGACCACCCTCAGGAGCTTATGTGTGTCACCCTGACCCCTTCCCGACCCGCGAGTGCCATCAGAGCAGAAGACGGCATTGGGAGTCTGGGACCGGTGACCCACTAGAAAGTCTCGAGAGGGTCATGAGGTCACTTCACTGGGCCAGGACTGGAAATGTCTTTTGATGAGATAGATTAAGGGTGTCAGAACGTTGTCCATGGCGAAGATGAAACATTAGTGTGCATAGAAAATCGCGCTAGAGAGACAGAGGCCATCAGGTTGGCTGTGCTGTTGGGTCTCATGTGGACGACGGCCAGCAGGATGAGGCTGGGATGGGGGAAGGTGACCCCTCACCTGGGCCCAGGTCCCTCTCTCTGGGGCATCTGAGCAGCTGCCCTGCCTGCAGGCTCCCCTCAGCTGGAGCCAGGGCACGTCGTCCTCATTCTCTGATGCCCAGACACGCAGCCGTCCACCTCTGGACCCCTCCCCTGGGGTGCGTGGGCCCTGGGGCCTCGGTGCCACCTGCTCCACAGCCCTGGTGCCAACGGGGCGCTTGGTCTCATCCACAGATGCGGAGAAGGGAGGCAGCCTTGTCGTTGAGGACTTCGAGATCGCGGCCAAGTATGGTGAGTGGCCTGGAGGCTGGACACCGTCCCGGGCTCGAGGCAGGCCCTGGCCCCGGAATTGCTCTTCAGCTCCTGCCTGTTGCCCAGACAAGCCTTCAGGGGTGTGAGTGTGTGAGGGGCCACCGAGCTGGCCAGACGCCAGCCCGCTGTGCCCTGTGTGGTGGGGGCGGGGGTTTTAGTCCTGGGGTGTGAGGCATGGACTCTCCTGATTTCACTTTTCCTGATTCTGTTTGGCTAGGGTAACCTCAAGCCCCCAAAGTGTCCCAGCAGATTCACAGTTGCCAGGGACCCCTGCACAGCAGAGCCCAGAGAGGGGGTACCGAGATCCATACCCCTGGGGTGTGGCCGGGGGCGGGTTGCCCACCCCTCCCTCCTCACTCCCCACCAGCAGGTGTGCAGGCCGCTTGTAGCGGTTCCACCCTGAGTCCCTTTCCCAGTTGCAGGTCCAAGGAGTTAAACTCTGTATTTCTCCATCGAAAGACCTCCTTCCCCTCCCCCTGCCCCCAGAAAGGCTTCTTTTCCATCGTCCTCCTCACTTCTGGGTTTGTCTCCTGGACACCAGCGGGAGAAGGCTCTGAGCAGAGGCTGTGGGTGGTTTGTCCTCGTGAAGAGGGGTGGATTGCTCTCTCTCAGCAGCTTCGAGGGTGTTTCCAGTCCTCAGGAGGTTGGGGTCCACACACAGGAGAGGTGGCTGGGGTCACCAGGTGGAGACAGGGCCGGGGTGGGTGATGGACCCCGGGCTGACCTCGAGTCCCTGCTGGTGCTGGGCTCTGACCAGCAGGGAGGCCCTGGGTGGTGCAGGGCCTGGGGGGTGGTGCCCCGCGTGGGTGGAGCTGGCGGCCTGGGCCCGGCCCCCACCCAGGAGCCGTGTCCCCCGCAGTGTGCCGGACGGCAGAGACCCGGCCGCCACCCAGCCCCTTCCTGTGCCTGGACCTCACCTACGTCAGCTCGCTGCTCCAGGAGCTCGGCTTCCCGGGGGACAAAGTGCTGAAGGTAGGGACCCTGGGGTGCCCCCTCCCTGCCCCTCAGGAGCATGTGCCCACCTTCCCCACACCCATGCTCCTCTCCCCGCTTGTCTCTTCAAGCTGACCCGGAAGATCGACAATGTGGAGACCAGCTGGGCTCTGGGCGCCACTTTTCATTACATCGACTCCCTGAGCAGACACAAGAGCCCCGCCGCGTAGCCGTCAAGTTGCCAGCCATCCCCGCAGAAGCGCAGGCTCTGCGAGAGCAGGCCCCTTTAGGACCCCTGACTTGCGGGATGGGGGCCATGGTGCCGGCCGGGACCCTCCTCCCCACGGCCACACACACCAGCCCCTGGGTGCGCTGGAACGCAGCCCAGGCTTTGGCTCCAGGTGGACGGTGTCCAGACGGGGCAGGGGGAGCAGACTGAGGCCAGGGCGGCCCCGCTGCCATCCACAGTCCCATCTCAGGCTTGGGGCGGCTGTGACACGCATCCTATGGCAGGAGTCTTGTTCTGTGCTGCTCTCCAGCGGGCGTCCCCCTGGGCCGGTGGGCCTGGCGTCCCCGGGGGTGTGGACTGTGACGTCATCCAGAAGCCGAGTCCTCAGGGCCTCAGGCTCAGCTGCCGAGTTGGCACTGAGCGTGGGAGGTGGGGCTGGAGGGGATGCCTCTCTGTGGCCCACTTGCCTGGGCTCCCCGAGGAGTCTGAATGTGAGTGTGCGCTGCTGTGAAGAGTGTGTGTATGTCTGTGTGTGACATCTGTGTGGTGCCAGACACTCACGCAGAAGCTGTGTCCTGAGCCGTGTATGGGTGTGTGTGTGTGTCTGAGTGTGACGTCTGTGGTGCCAAGCGCTCACGCAGAAGCTGTGTCCTGAGCCGTGTGTGTGTCTGAATGTGTGTGCGCTGCTGTGAAGAGTGTGTGTGTGTGTCTGTGTGGGACGTCTGTGGTGCCAAGCCCTCATGCAGAAGCTGTGTCCTAAGCCGCGCGTGTGTGTGTGTGTGAGAGAGTGACATCTGTGTGGTGCTGAGCACTCGCACAGAAGCTGTGTCCTGAGCCCACTGGATGTATCGCTGCCTGAGCCTTTGGCCGCCAAGCAGTGTCCACCCAGCCACAGCCCCGGATCCACCCTCTGGCGGCCCAGCCCCCACGGGCTCGCGGGGTGCTGGCCGAGCTGGGCACAGGGCTCTATGGGCCCCAGGCCCACAGCTGCTCCTGTGGTGAATGTACAGTTCTCGAAATAAGCTGAACCTCATGTGTTCCACTTGAAATAAAGGGTTTTCCAGGGTTTCTGCTCCTCTGATTCCTCTCGGTGAGCATCAGCACTGTCCCTCCACCCCAGCGCCCACATTGGGCACGGGACATTCCCGTTCACCGAAGTTGAAACAAAAACCTGCCCCCGTGGGTGATGTGTGATGGCAGGATTAAAGTCCTGTCAGTGCCTCTTGGGGAGACAGCAGCAGCAGGACACACAGAAGCTCCACTGGGCACTCCTGGTGTCCCCTGTCCGGGGTGGGCCTGTGGAGGTCTAGGCTTTTCTGGGGTCCAGCAGAGCAGAGCCCCCCTCTGAGACTGTGACATCTGCAGGCTCATCACCTCCAGGGCCGAGTGGTCTGGAGCAGGCACTGACCTCCAGCTGCAGTGTGTCTTGTGAGGATCTGGTTTTAATCAAGGACCAGCAGAAGGGGGTCACAGCCAGGACAAAGACCAGACAGACCCTTCCTACGCCTGAAGGTGTAGCCTTCAGACCCCTACGGCTGAAGGGGTCCAGAGTGGCGTGACTGCTGCATAAGCCCACATGTCAGGCCTTCAGGGATGGAGCCCTGACCTCTGAGTGTGCAGGACCAGGAGAGAGAGACAGGTGTGAAACCCGAGAAGACCTGAGCCTGCCGGACAGACACGGGGAGTCTGCACCCTCTCCCCAGGGGCCTGACTAGGTGGGGGTTACCACATCCCCAACTCCAGAGGGCTAGGGGCAGGCCATCAGGACACAGATGCTGAAAACCGGAGCCAACAGCCCTCTGCCCAGTGGGTTCCCCAAAGTGTCAACCTTGAGGTGGGGGACATAGGTCTGCGTATGGACACAGCAGGAAAAGACAGTGGGGAGATGCTTTCCCCAGACAGAAAGCCACCTCAGGACTGAAGCCTGAGGATCCACTTGACAAGGAAATGAAAACTGGCTCCCCGCATCCTGCACCCCCACCTTGGCGGGCCTCCCAGCCCCTTCCTTCCACGATAGCTAGAAGCTTAGCTACTGTGCAGACTCCAGAGGCCAGGAATCAAAAATGCATGAAGGCCAAAGTGAAAATTGATTTGGTCCATTTATAGGTTGGTGATCTCACGTCTGAAAAAGTAAACAACTGGACGTCACCCAAGAGAGTCCCAAATAAGTCATGGAACATTTTTAAGCCGAGCAGACTATGCAAGTCATTCACTGTCTTTGTGATAATAAAGCAGGCTCTTGTTTTTTCAAAAATAGCCAGACAATGCACATCCCAGCACGTTGTGGGTGATGCACACGGGCAAGAGGTTCCCACCCACGTGCCCTGCCCCATGGGTCCTGCGCCCACCTTCCCACGCTCACTCAGAGTAGCCACCCTGTCTGTATGACAAGACCCCGTGCTCTCCAGCTTGCACTCCTGCATACGTGCATGAACCAGCCTGACACTGCAGACCCAACGGCAGCAACATGCGAATGTGCCTTGTTTCAGGGTGCTTCTCAGAAGCGTATTTTAATAAGGAGTTTAAAATCTAAGTTAAATTGCTGCTTAAATTGAATGGTGGTGGAGAGGTGTGGATTGACTGAAATTAGAAAAAAATGGGATTAAGCTGAATCTTTCTCCCTAACATGAAATGTACCCTCTGAATACTCAGAATCATTCAACTTACTTCCCCTTCATCTTCACGGGGTTAAACATCGAGAAAATAGGAAATATGCCTCGAGCTCTGTGGTTTTAGGTGGCTCACTGAGGGGTTGACCTCTGGGGTCGGGTTCTGAGAGGCTGTTGTGTGGAGTTGGGAATCTATCTTCCCCACCCTTGTGAAGAGGTGGGACGAGTCTTGAGAGAGATTAACGTTGTGGTTGAAGGGGCAGCCTTGTCAATCCAGAGAACTGCTCGAGTGACAAGCACCCGTGAAGATCAGGGCCCTGTTGGGAGCCAAGTCCTTTAAGAAGCTACACTTTCTCCAGAAGACAGTTCTGAGAACCCCTAGAAGAGCTCTGGGAAGGACTTCACTCAAAATGCTCCCAAGGGCTTGCCTACCGCTCTTTCCCCACCTCACGTAGGAACGAGTTCCCCAGCCAAGACAGTCTTAAACTGTTCTTTTCTTAATTGAGGTTTAGTTGACATATAACTGGGTTAGTTTCTCTCTACAACATAGAGTATATGTCGTGGGATGATCACAGTAAGTCCAGTTAACATACATAACATACATAAGTCTAGTTAACATAACAGTCACCATATACAGTTGCAGAATACCTTTTCTTGTGATACCTCCCCTCTTAGCAGCTTTCAAACAAGCAATGCAGTATTGTTAACTATGGTCACCATTCTGTATACTACATCCCCAGGACTTTTATAACTGATCTATTTCACGCCCCCCACCATGCCCCACCTCTGGAAACCAGCATTCTGATGTCTGTTTCAATGACTTCTGTTTTTTAGATTCCACGTGTATGGATACTTCAGTTGGTAAAGAATCTGCCTGTAATGCAGGAGACCCCGGTCTGATTCCTGGGTCAGGAAGATCCCCTGGAGAAGAGATAGGCTACCCACTCCAGTATTCTTGGATTTCCCTTGGGGCTCAGCTGGTAAAGAATTGGCCTGCAATGCAGGAGACCTGGGTTTGATCCCTGCGTTGGGAAGATCCCCTAGAGAAGGGAAAGGCTACCCATTCCCGTATTCTGGCCTGAAGAATTCCATGGACTGTATAGTCCATAGGGTCGCAAAGAGTCAGACACAAATGAGCAACCTTCATTTTGTGTGATCATACAGTACTTGTCTTTCTCTGTCTGACTTATTTCACTTAGCATAATGTCCTTTAGGTTCATCCATGTTGAAAATGGCAAGATTTAATTCTTTCTTATGGCTGAGTGATATTCCATTACATACATAAACCGCATCTTTATCCATTCATCTGTTGATGGACATCTAGGTTGCTTTCATATCTTGACTATTGTAAATAATGCTGCTATGAATGTCAGGGTGCATGTATCTTTTCTAATTAGTGATTTCATTTCCTTTGGATATAGTCCCCGAAGTGGAATTGCTGCATCATATGGTAGTTCTATTTTCCTTAAAAGGAAACTCCATATTATTTTCCATGGTGAATGCACCAATTTATATTCCCACCAACAGGGCCCAAAATTTCCCCTTCTCCACATCCTCACCAACACTTAATTCTTGGCTTTTGATGATAGCCTTTCTGACAAGCATGAGATGATGTCTTATTGTAGTTTTGATTTGCATTTTCCTGATGGTGAGTGATACTTAGCATCTTTTTCTGTGTCTGTTGGCTGTCTATATGTCTTCTTTGGCAAAATGTCTATTCAGATCCTCAGCCCATTTTTAATCAGATTGCTTGGTTTTTTGCTATTGAGCTGTATGAATTCTTTGTGTGATTTGGGTATTTGCCCCTTATCAGATATATGATTTGTAAATACTTTCTTCCCTTCAGTAGGCTGCCATTTTGTTTTGTGGATGGTTTGCTTTGCTATGCAGGGTGAGAACATTTCAAATTGTGACTATTTTGCCAAATTTCCCTACAACTCCAGTGGCAATCAGGTGCCAGCTTCTTGAGCTCTCACCAACACAGCTCTGGTCAGGCTGTTTGCTCTGCCATTCTAGCAGGTAAAAATGATAACTGGTGATTTTACTAGGCACCATTCTAATTCATCTTGTATGTGTATGTCTAGGAGTATTTCCTTTTCTGTGAAACATCTGTTCATGTCCCTTGACAATTTTTCTATAAGATTATGGTCATTTTCTTGCTGATTTTTAGAAAACTTTTATATACCAAGGAAATTAGCTATTGTGACAGAATATGTTGCAAATTTCCCCCATTTTATTAATATTACTACATTTTTACTTTACAGTATTTTTTCAATACACAGTTTTACTATTTTAATGTATTCAAATGAATCCAATTTCTCTCTGTCTCTTTTTGTGGCCATACTGCTTATGGGGGGTCTTAGTTCCTCGACCAGGGATTGAACCCAGGCCC